GAAACAAACACAGGGACATGCAGGGAAATACTGGGACATGTGGGGACAAGGTGCCCAGTGCTGCTGGGTGGCACCAGCTCCTGCTGCAAGTGCAAGCACCAGCACCCCACACACCAGCTCCCACACAGAGCCCAAAGTTCGTGTTTCCTGCAAGCCAAGGAGGTGGCAGCAGCCACTTCAGCCCCAGCACAACCCTGAACACAGGGCACAACACCCAGAAAACACAAAACCCATCAGCAGTATTTGGTGTAAGGTAAAGCCAGTTTCTGCTATGGTTTAAGAAAAGGGGCAAAAGGCAGTTCAAGGGTAGTCCCCTTAACAAAAGTCTACTTAATTTGTTTTCCTGATTAATAAAAATTCACCTGGGCAGGAAGCTATGGGGGGAAAACACATTTTAGGGATGTCTTGAGCTGCTCCTGAGCTGAGCTCCAGAGATGGGCCATGAATGGAAGCTGCTGTGCCTTCCAGCTCGTGTCACAGTTTGCTTTAGTCCTAGAAGGACACAGCTCTGAGGACTCCTGCACGTGCAAGATGACAAAAGAGAACAAAACCCCCAAGGGGAGATTGGTACATGTCTCTTCAGTGCCCAGACCTGCCCTGCACAGTGCTCTACTTAAAGCCAGTCATACAGAATTCACGACTAAAAACAGATTTATGGGTGGGGGGGAACGAGTTATTTGAGCTCAGTATTTACTTTGGGTTTGTACTGCCTGATGAGCGAGCTCAGGTTCCAGGAGAATCTTCTTTAGTTTGCCATATCCAACACTTCAGGGAAAGACTGAGTCCCTTGTGTGCCCTCAGGAGTGTTCCCTGTTAGACTGGGACAGGACTCTAAGGGATTTGCATCTTCAAAAACCCCAGGGATAACCTGATCATGAGCCCCCCTCAGAGAGGATATTCTGAGACACTTGGTACTGAGAAGAATTGCTACTGAGAAGAAAAGATTGCTCCCAAAAAGGGTATTTTAACTTGTGGAGATAAAGTTATGACTGCTTTTAGCGTCACAGCTGAAGATCACTCATGAAAATCTGAAGTGGTAAATGCAACTAAGGTGAAAAAAAATGTTGTTTTGTATTGCAGTTGTCCTTGAAAATATGAAATACATCATATAAATCTTTTCATGCTTCAGTATGCCTTTTATCTCCTACTCCATTCCAAGTTAGTTGGATTTTTTTATATTCATGTCTAAGAGTTTCATTTTTTCTGAGGCTCTAATCCACCATATGGTGGTGCTTTAACTAGAGAAGCAAAACTATTCCAAAGAAATTACAGTGCTGCTTTACCCCAGCCTCAACAGCATTCTCCAGTCTGTTGATCAATGCAGCATTTTCTCCCAGAGAAAGGAAACAAAACTCCTGTCCCACCTGCCAGCCTCAGCCCCAGGAACCCTGCAGCCTCTGCCATGGAGCAAGGAAAAGCACGCTGGGGCTGCCTAGCCCTGGGATTTGAGTGACATCCTCAGGCACCAGAACTCAGAATCCCAGAATCACCAGATTTGGAAGAGACCTTCAAGATCTTCCAGTCCARCCCAYGACCCAACACCTCAACTAAACCATGGCACCAATCCCCACATCCAATCYGTTTTAAACACATCCAGAGATGGTGACTCCATCATCTCCCCGRGCAGACCATTCCAGTGCTTTATCACTCTTTCCACAAAAAAACATTTTCCTAATATCTAACTTGGCCCTGCTGCCTTCTCCCTCCCTCCTTCCAGGCTCTGGGAAGGAAGGAGGGAGGGTGGGGAAGGAGGGAGGGAGGGTGGGGAAGGGAGCCCATACCTGACTGGCTGAGGAAGAAGCAGACATCATCCCTGAACACAGGGGTGTTTCTGTCCAGGAAGTCACTGGCAAGTTCCACCATGACAGGTAATTCTGTCAGTTCTTCCAGCACCTGACGTGTCTGGAACAAGGAGGTGCAGGAAGTCAGGTATTACATCATGTTTATAAAACCAAGTGTTTGCACAGAAAAAGCTTTTTAGCAGTCACACGCTGGAAAATATTGCTATTAAAACCCCATGTGAAAATTAGTGCTGGATTATACTTTAATTACTCAGCATGCACATACTCCAGTCACCAAGTACCCCTGTGAGAAACAACCTTGCTTTAGCACCACCAGCAGCCTGTGAGGCCAAATTCTCACTCACATGGAGATTTCTCTGAAGTCAGTCTCACTTATTACATGACCCTCCATATAAATTATGTAATGCAGGGTGTCCTGTGTGTCTATCACACTGCAGCCTGAAGAACTCAGAAACCACCACTTATATCCAGGCCAGGAATCCTACCTGGCTGCCAGCAGCCTCTGCCTTGCTGCAGTATTTGCATTTCTGCTCTGGCATTGTCCCTCTGCTGCTAGCTACCTTTTACAACAGAGCAGGCTTTGTTTTTCAAAGCCTTCCACAGCCATGGAAGTCACAGGAACCATTTCCCTAAATTCAGGTTCTTCAGCTTTTATTTCCTCCTGCTGCTGCTGTGAACTGAAAGTCCTTTATTCACCTGTGTGCACTTGCTTACTCCTAACCTGATTAAGGTTAAGAATCAATCCTTAACCTGAAATCAATCCTTAATCTGCTTGGCACATGCCATACACTCCCCAGGGAGAGCTCAGAGCCCCTTCCAGGCCTAAAGGGGCTGCAAGAGAGCTGGAGAGGGATGGAGGACAAGGGGTGGAGTCTCAGGACAAAGGCGAATGGCTTTAAACTGAAAAAGGGTAGACTTAAATTAGATTATTAGAAGGGTGAGGGTGCTGTGAGGGTGGCAAGGCCCTGGCACAGGGTGCTCAGAGAAGCTGTGGCTGCCCCTGGATCCTTGAAGTGTCCAAGGCCAGGCTGGACAGGGCTTGGAGCAGCCTGAGACAGTGGAAGGTGTCCCTGCCCATGGCAGGGGTGGGACTGGATGGGATTTAAGGTGCCTCCAAGCCACCCCAGCCTGTGATTGGGACTGGATGGGATTTAAGGTGCCTCCAAGCCACCCCAGCCTGTGATTGTGACATTGCTGCTGAGCCCAGCCCAGAGCCCAGCACTCACAGCCATTCCTGCGTGGTAACTCGTGCCACAGGCGATGAGGATCAAACGCCGACACCTCTGGATCTCCTTGATGTGATCCTTCAGCCCACCCAGGTTCACTGTGAGCAGGAAGCAGAGAGGAAAGTTAGGGTGGCCACACTGCAGAAATCCTCAAGGTCACTGGTGCTAAGAGCATTTTACAATCAGCATCATCCACTTTGCAAAAACCATCACAAGATGTGATCTCACACAGCAAACAGAATCCTGGAGGCACTCTGTGACACACACTTCATCTCACACCAGCCAGGTTTTCATCTCCCATGTCATCACCCCCTTCTTCCCCACTAACTACTGTGAATAACTGCTGGACACTGAGTTGTCAGGAATGAGGGAGGCTAAAGCTCAATTACCAGTGTAGTCATCAAAGTTGACCCTTCCTCTCATAGTATTAACGACAGATTCTGGCTGTTCAAATATTTCCTTCTGCATAAATGAGCTGAAGTTACCTATGAAGAAAGAAAAAAACAAACACTTTACCTCCTCCTGCAAACTTGAATTTTAAATTATCCCCTGGTAATTGCCATTTTTCCTCTGTATGTAAGGAAAAGCTTGGACCGGAGTCACTAACAGGCCAGCTACCAGCCAGACATTATTGAACTGATACTTCTTTTCTACCAAAGCATCAGCTCATCATGAGAGCTTGATTCAAGTTTCTAAAAGGTGCCAGTGAAGGGCAGATCCAGACTGGCAAGTCTGGAAGGGATCAATCTTGGAAAAACCAGATGGCTCCAAGGAGGCAGCAAAACCCTCAGCCCCACAATTCCCCTCATTATGGTGTCAGCAGCTAGAGAGAAAGTAAGAACATGCAAGGACTTTTTTCACACCATGAGGGTGATGAAGCACTGGACCATGCTGTGGGATTTGTGTCCTTGGAGATGTCCAGACTCAACTGAGTTATCACTGGGCTCAGGGATGGCACCAGGTGACCTCCAGTCCTTCCCACCTGATGCAGCTGTGACTGCAGGAGGGAGCAGTGCCCCTGGGCAGGTTCCACCCAGCAGCTCTCACCCTTCATGATCTGCTGCAGCTCCATCTGCAGGGTCTGGACAGCCCGTCCCGGGTGGTCTCCGGCCGTGCGCTTGATGCGGTGGATGGACAGACGGCCGTCCACCACGGCGGCCACGTCGTCATCCTCCAGGAAGATCACACGGTTGGTGTGCTCGATGACAGCACTGTGGGGTCACACAGCACCATCACACACAGCTCTGGGCACCTCACTGCTACTTGGGCCCTTCCCACCACCCAAAATGCAGCTCTTGAGTCAAGAAAGGTGCTTGTTTCAATGGAATTTCTTTTAAAATTGGACCAGTCATGTAAAGTACATTTCTGCCCTGCCAATGGAGCTGGATTTTTTTCCACCTGGCTCATTATTAATTTCAGTGCCTGCTTTAAGGAGAAACTCTGAATTGCTCAGACTAAGCAGCACTTGCAGCAATGGGACCTGTCTGGAGCTAGAGAGTGAAGGCAGGGATTTGCCCTGGCACACAGGCTGCTCAAACAGAGGAACAGGTTCCTTCCTTGGTTTTTCCAGGGATAAGCCACTGTCCCTCCTTGCAGCTCACTTTGACCATCTGAAAACCCAGGGACAGCTCTATCCCCTGCTCTAAGGCACTTGAGATCTGCTCAGCAGCACTACAAGAACTGGATGCTATCACACACTTGCCCTGCCCACAGCTCCCTGGGGGAGGGTCAGTGATGGCATCACCAGTGGGGTTCAAAACCTGGGGCCAGGTTTCAGTCAGTGCTCTCAGCTGAGCTGAGCTGAGCTGACAAACAGCAGCTCCCTGTTTCAGCAGCTTTTGTCCTGACCTTGGGCAAGCCACAGGAAAGCTCCAAAACCAGAACACATCAGGGTGTCCTAAGGCTCTCCACAGCTCTCTGATGGAAGAGCTGCAGAAGTCAAGCACAGCAGTATTTTTACATTCCTGGAGCAAGCACCCATTTCTGTTGAACCAGGGAATCCCAAAAACTGTGCTAAGGCTGCTGCCAAGTCAGTCTATCTTTGCTCCTCTGGGATTACAATATGCCACCTTTGGTGATGAAGGAATTGCATGTGTGCAGAGACCCCTGGGGAATCAGTATCAGTCTCCTCATAATTAGTACCTGTGCTGCTAATTTAGGTCAGTACTCTTTCAGGTTTCCTACCACTGGGAAATTTTACCAACTGATGTGCCTGAAGAAGGATAATACCTTCATATTCCAAGGCCAGAGTTCATTCCTTAAACAGCAACTCTGCTTTAGTCAGTATTTGCACAGTAATGGCCACATATACATAATTTATTCACAGAGAAACCACAGCCTCCCCCATCAAGAGAGCTTTAAACAGGATATTTCTACATACACTAAAGATGCTGGAAAACCCTACCTGGCATCAGAAGCAAAGTAATATTCCACAGCTTTCTCCTCCACAGGGAAGAGGCAGGTGGTGCTGTCAACTCGGGACAGGTTGCAGCTTCCCTTCTTGTCTTTCCCTAGGAGACAGGAGGGTCAGGGGCTACCCAGGATCAGACTCCTGAGCACAGGTCACAGCCAGCAGAGGCCCCAAGGCACAGTACCAACATGAAGCACTATTTTCATGCCTGCAGGTGGGCACAGTAAATGCACAGCAGCACTCGCACTGTTGTGCCCATTCTCAGTTTGATTGCAAAGGTTTTATGTGCTTTCCAATAAGTCTGGAAGTGTATTGCCAGTGCACTTTTAAGTACAGAATATGAGGAAAAAAAAACAAATTAAAGTTTGGTGTGGCTCCACTAGTAGGGAATTCACACTGCTTTATGAGCAGCCACATTTACCCACATTTCCCCATTAAACCTCTCTATGTACCATTTTAAGTTTCTCCCATGTTCCTCTCTGGCGAGACTCTCCTGAGAAATGAATGAAATGGAGCAGAATTTCTCTTTCTTTATTACTCTCAGCACTGGGGAAATTCTGTCCGAGCTACCACCTGTGTGACCACACTGCTCCCCAAGCAGCACAGGTGGAACCCAAACCTATTTCTGTCTGCCTGAGATCATTGGTCAAACACAGCTCAGCAAATCCAGGATTAAGAACTCAGCCTTGCTCCTGTGCTATCAAAAACAACCACTTCTTCCTGACCCAAAAATCACACCTCTGCTGTTGCCAGGGAGGTATCCAGGGTGCTGCAGGACACAGGACTGAAAGTCAGTTTTGGAAAAACCTGTCCTGAAAGTTCACTGTGTCATCAGGAATCCTTTCTGGACTACTCTGACAATTCCCAATACTGGCTAATCATACTCCTCAAACTGCTTCTCAGTGTGTGGTGAAGCTCATCAGGGATGCAGATGAGGCACCAAACACCTACTGCTCAGCACCAGCCTCAAGCAAAATTATTTGCCAGTCATTGTGCAGGGTATGGGGAGGGTGGGGGTGGATTAATCAGCTTATCTACCAAAATGTGACTATTGCTGAAGAACAACAACACTGAAGTTACTCAATTCTATATTTATTCCATAATCCTGATGTTGTTTCACCTACTAGACACTGACTGAATTCAGTGATGCAAGTAGAGCTTGTGGTGTTCTCATGTACATTTCTGCAAATTAAAATGTAAAGGAAAAATACTGCTTTCATGTTGATACTCAGTAAAAAAGGTCCACTCAGCCAATGATTTAGAGCCTTCCAGTTATTCAATGAGGAAAACAACACTTTTGTTTTGGAGTTGAGACAGGACAGACTGATTTGGTATTGAGAAAGGACAGAGCAGAGCTGTTAGTGGCCCCTCCCCAACAGAAGCAGCCAGACCTAATCAAAACATGCAAATTTAGTTTCTCAAAATAGAACATTTCCCTGCATTGACTTTATTATGTTGCATTGCTTTCCTGTATTAAAGACTGAGCACTGGAATATGTTCATTGTGCACACACACATGCACTATGTGTGTAACTACCAAGGCTGGCTTGGGAAGTTACAGCAAGTATTATCAGACAATTATGTTCTTTATTTTATCTATGGATTTGCCCATTTATTTATAGATAATCTGGATTGTTGTTCTACAGCACCAATCCCTTCATTTACTACAATTTAGAAGCAACACAAAAGAAATGTTTTAATCTCTTCCCTTCTGAACCAAAGAGTGGAGAATTAACCCAGGTATGGTAAAAACGGGCAGGGGGGCAATTTCTCAGAAAAGCCTCAGTGCCTCTCTGAGAGACTTGGGTCCTCAGAGCCCCTGGGAACTCACCTGGCTTCAGAATTTTACTTCCAACATTTTATACAGAGAGAGGTACATTTGGTGAAGAGAAACCAAATCTCCCCTGATGTTTTGAGTCAGGCAAACCAGCTGCTGGCAGAGAACAGAGTTCACCTTTCAACAAACCCAGGTTTGCCTCTCCTCCAGCAAGAGACATCTCAGATGTTTTACCCAGGGAGCTGCCAGTGCCCAGGGTCACTGAGGCTCTGATGAGGGTGGAATCCCATTTTTTCACAGTCACCAAGAATCAGATCTTTCCCCTCACAGAAAAGGGTTCTCCTGCTTCACATGTGACCTGGGTTCATCCCATCACACGTGATGGGCTCCCCTTTAAAGTACTTCAAGGGATTTACAGATTGTTCCCCTGAAGAATGCACAAGGGAAGGAAGTCCCAGCCTCAGGACAACCTTAGTGCTGTGAACAGAGGCTGCAGCTCACTCACACCCTGCTCAGGGGGAGGACACAGCTCTGACACTCCAAACCCCAGGAGGAATTTTGGAGAATGCTTGCATTAGGATTATTAGCAGCCTCCTGCCATAGTGGGGTTTATTTTTAAGGTAATTTACTGTTTCCTTCTGTAGTTAGACCTGCAGAAACACTCAGCACAACCTGCATTGTCATGAGTTTTGCACATATGCTGAGCATTATACCCCAATATTTGCAATGGAATGAGTGGGTTTTCCTGTGTGTTGCTCATGGTGTTTCTGATCAAGAAGGAATTCTGATTATCCCACTTGTTTCACTACACAACACGGAAAGCAATAACCACATATTAGAGACAATGCATCTTGGTCTCATTTATGATTCTTCTCCTAAGGAAATGGAGGATTTGTCTGAAAATTCAAGTATTAGCTTTTCTCTGGTAGGCACCTTCCTCCATTTTTATGGATATTCCATCAAAAGAATGATCCATAGATTGTACAGCTGAAAGTGCAATTGGAAATAAAATAAACCAAACTTCAGATAATCAGTAAAAAAATATAGTGTTACATACATACATCAACATTACTGCTTATTATCCAACATAATCAAAAGGCAAAACTTCTGGGACTGGTCTTGCAGCAGGGCATCAATAACTACACTGATAGAAAATAGGAAGACACAGGACAGCACTTCCTCTGGATCCCTGCAATGCACAGAACCAAGTCCAGGGCCCATGGACTGAACAGGTTCAGACCCCTGTGACAACAGTAAATTACAGAGAAATTCTTCATCATTTTTCATTTTCAAGGGTGTCTACAGTGGTAAAACACTTGTGAGAGCAGGATGGACAGACAACAAACAGACATTGTCAGGGGCAAGGTCTGTGACAGTGCCAAGTCTCCAGCCTGCAAAGCTCAGCCATCTTTGCTCCTGAAAATCACCAGGCTCACAAATGCCAAAATGCCACACGCAGAACACAGACCTGAGTTTAACTACACTGTTCAGTTTATTATGCAGAAATATTCCAATATCCCTGGAAGTGTGTAAGGCCAGGCTGGACAGGGCTTGGGATTCAGCTGGGAAAGTGGAAGGTGTCCCTGCCCATGGGAGTGGGGCTGGAACAAGATGGGCTTTAAGGACCCTTCCAACCCAAACCACTCCATGACTATACTTCATTCCACTACATTAACTTGTATTTTCCATGCAATCACTGTAAATTAAAGCTTAAATTAAAACACTAGAGGCCAAACACTTGAGATATATCGTGGGTAGAACATGTGGTTAAAAACTTGCTTTGAAAGGTSTCTGTAATATGRTTTTATTTACACTGTAGAGCTGCARTCTGTCAGAGCAGCCATGTGTCTGTGTCTCCACTCACCTGTGCGGTACAGGATGGGGATGTGGTCTGTGGAGAGCTTGTGCTCGCTGCGCACACCGATGAGCAGGGGGCTGCCTCGCCTGCAGGGACACAAGGACAGCTCAGCACCTCAGGGACACAAGGACAGCTCAGCACCTCAGGGACACCCCCACAGCCCACCCAGGGCCTTCTGCTCCCCACCAAGGCACAGCCAGAGCTTCGCAGAGCAGCCCCTACTGCTGCTGCTGCTGCAAACAGGTCCACAACACAGAGGGAAAGAACAGCAGGATGAACAACACAAGGATGTGAGGAACCTGCATCAAGGCTAGACAAAACCCTGCAAGAGGCACTGCACACCTGAAACAGGGACTGCTCCTCACTGTACATACCTACCTGACAGGTATGGGCACTGAAATTCAACCCCTGGTGAAACCACCCCAGCTGATGCTGGTGTTTAAATGTGGGACAGAAAACCTGAACACAAGGCTGGCCCAAATTCCAAGCCAAATGGAGGACTTGTCCAAGTGCTGCCACAAGGGTAAACACAAAGGAAAAGGTAAAATCATCTCCTTTCAAATCAAAACCAGAGGATACCAAAACCAAACCAGTTGTGACACAGCTGGTCAATAAGAAACTTTCAAAGTATTTTTGGCAATTTCTTCTGATAGATGGAAAACAAGAAAGGAAACTGAAAACAACAACAACCACAACCCTCTCCCCAGCATGTAAAGTGTGATGAGAATGATCTCTAGTCTATCTTCTAACTTGAGGGTACAAAAAAACATGACAGCCAGGGTGCAAGAACATTCTTTTCCATGACAACATTTACCTGGTACCAACTGCTTGCCCGGGATAATGAACACTCTTGAACACGAGGGCAAAAGCACCTTCCTGGAACAGAAGAAACACTAACTGGTTATCCCTTCACTGAGGCCTGGGCAACATTTCAGTTTTCCCAGCACAGAAACTGCTCTGGTCTGTGGGTAAGGAAGAGCCTCCAAAGAGGTGGTTTCACAAATGTTTTCAGAACCACCTGTAGCTCCAGCATCCCCATCTCAGAAGGATGTCCCTCCCCTGAGCTTGGCAGTGCATCCTCAACCACTGAATGAGTGCACTGGACACCCAGAGAGACACTCAGACTCCCTTGGTCATCCAAGTGGCTCCTGCTTTAGCTCAGGATGCAGTAAATGGACCTACAAAGGCAAAGATCAGCTGAAAGGGAAGATCAGCTGGGGAACTGTGATGGATCCTGCACGTCAGAGGGCAGGGACTGACACGTGGGAGCTGAGGCTCCACAGTGAGCTCCCACCAGAGGTCAGCAGCTCTCCCGGACACAGCTTTGGGAAGGACTGCAAGGCTCTGCCTCCCTCCCGGGCAGGCTCCCTCCCTGCTCTCAGCACCCCAGCCAGGGACTGGCAGCCTCCAGCTGCTGCTGTGCCCAAAAGTTTGGACATTTCCCAGAAGAACACTAACAACTGTTCAAGAAAACCGAATGTACACCTGAGATGAACTGTCAGAGGTAGCAGAGCTAAAAACACACCTTAGCACGTGCTCCAGAGCATCCTGCAGCGGTGCACGGGCTGGCACTGCGGTGCCCTGGCAGCACTGGAGAGCCCTGGCAGCACTGGAGTGCCCTGGCAGCACTGGAGTGCAGGGGTTATTTCTGGGGGGACTGTCCCTGTATGTCCATCCCCCCACTGTCCCCTCCTGCCCCCAGCATTACCAGCTGCTGGATGACTCTCTCCACCAGCGTGGTGAAGCTGATGTCGTCGCTGTCGCGGTTGTCGTACATGTACTTGACCAGCTTGGCGATGCTCTCTGTGTCTGTCTCCGACTCGAAGTCATAGCCCTTGCTCTCCTGCAGGGACACACGTGTGGGTGACCAGCCCTCTGCCTTCCCTTCCACCTTGTTTGCCTTCCTTCCCTTCCTCCTGACTTTTTCTTCCTTTCTTTTTCTGGTTTTTACTATTTCCTTTCCTTCACCTTCCCTTCAACTTTTTCTTCCCTTTTCCTCATGCCTTTCTTTTTCTTTGCTCTGGCCTTCCTCCCTCATCTTTTCTTTTCCTTCCCTTTTCCTTGTCTTTCCTTTTTCCTGCTTTTCCTTTTCTTTCTGCATCTCCTTCTCCCCTTTCTTTTTATCCTTCTATACTGCAGCTTTTTTCCTCTTTTATTTCTCATCCTTCGCTCTGCTTTTCCTCTTCTTTTTACTTTCCTGCCTTTTCTCTCTCCTTCTTTCTGTCATCTCCTCACACTTTCCTTTCATCCTTCCTTCCTGCCTTTCAAATTGCAAGAATATGAGGAGAGGACAGCGAGCAGGAGCATGAGGGGAGTGGAAGTGTCAGAGTAAAGGAGTGAGTGTGAGAATATGAGGGGGGAGCGTGAATGGGTAAGAGAGGAGTGGGAATGGAGAGGGAGTGAGTGGAATAATGGGGAAGTGTGAATAGAGTGAGTGTGAGAATGTGAAGGGGGAGTCAGGGTGGGAAGGAGACAGAGAGGGAGTTTTAGTGGGAAAGTGCAAGTGGGGAAAACGTCAGTGGGAGAATGAATGGGGGAGTGTGAGTGGGGGATGAGGAGGGAGTGACAGTCGGGGCGGGTGAGCAGGGCAGCGAGTGTGAATGTCAGATATGAGTGGGGGAGTGGGAGTGAGGTGGGTGGGATGTCAGTGTGAGAAGGAACTCACAGAGTAGGAGAGTCTGTGAGAGTGTAAGGGAAGGAGTGTGAGTGCAAATATGGCAGGGAGACAGGGTGGGAGTGCAAAACTGTGAGTGGGGGAAGATGGATGGAGGTGAGAGCGAATGTGAGTGGGGGAATGACTGTGAGAGATGAATGGGGAGTGAGGAAATGTGAGTGAAGGAACAGGAGGAGTGGGGAGGGTAAATGGGAGAGTGAGAGTGAGAATACAAGAGGGGCAGTGAGCTGGGAAGTGTGTGAGAGCCAAGGGGAGTGGGAAAGGGAGGGTCACACCCCCCAGGGGTCACTCACCAGGAACTTGCGCAGGTCCTTGTAGTTGGTGATGATGCCGTTGTGGATGACGATGAACTCTGGGGACAGAGGAAAGGCCCTGCTCAGCCCCATGCCAGCCCCAGCCCGGCCAGCAGAGCCCACATGTGACTGTGGGACGAGCCAAAGCACGTTTCACCTCCTGGTGCAATTCCCTGTTCTGCCCCATGGGCAYGGCTGGGAGTGGGGGAGGATAACARTGACCTGGGTGTGACCAGGGCTACCCAGACCCTGCAAAGCTTCTGGAGCCACTCGAGCACTTGGCAGCATCCATCCTCCTGGAGCAATGAACCCCACACTGCTGCTGCCAGTTGAGAGCTGCTGTTCCCTGGGCAGCCACACCCAACACAACCCACGCTGTGACAGTCCCACGCCGTGACAGCCCCAAGCACACCAACCCCCTTCCCTACAGCGGGATTAGGGAAAAAAGTTTACGAAATTCCATTCCAAAGAACAGCCAAAAAAATTCTCACCATCCCATTTCCTTGTGTCTTCTCCTCCTCACTCTGTGCCCACGCACCCAGCCAAGCCCTGGGCACCCACCCCAACCCTTCCTGGGATCCCTCACTGCTGGGAACACACCCCATGGCCAGACCTAGATCCCAAACCCTGCAGCTTGATCATAACCAGGCTCAGCACCACAGCCTGAACAAACCCCCTGCCTGCAGCCAGCCACCCCTCCTGGGACATGGAGGGGGCAGGAAGCTTTTCCAGAGGCTCCAGGACCTGCTGAGGATGCTGAGGATGCTGGGGAAGGCACTGACCATTGTTCTTGTCGGAGCGCTGCGGGTGGCTGTTGATGGGGTTGGGCTCCCCATGCGTGGCCCAGCGTGTGTGGGCAATCCCCAGGTGAACATCAAACTCGATGTCCAGGTCCATGTCCTGTTGCTCTGCAGCACAAGCAGAAGGTTTTAGTCCTGAGGGGCTGTCCACAGGCCAGGTTAAGCTGTGAGTCTCACCAGACCCCAGGGACTACAGAACAGCAATGCAGACAGCCAGCAAAGCCAATAGGATCAGAATCACAGAGCTGCTAAGCTTGGAAAAGACCTTTAAGATCATCAAAGTCCAACCAAAACCTCACGGGGTTTTCAAGGTAAGGCAGATAAACACAGAAAACAGACCTGTGCAAAAAGCAACCCTTCAGGGAAGAAGCCAACCCTGAGTTGTCCAGGGGTGCCCCATCCTGTCATCTGTGACTGAACTAGCCCTGCACACCACCGTGGTTATTCATTCATCCCTAACCCTGTCTCTAGAAAGCCTAGAGCATGAATATTTCTTTGGAAAAAACACTCCTTTTGTTCCACAAGTGTTTCCACAATCTCTTCAAAGCTGTATATCCTCGCATTTTCTTGAGCAGGCAAACCTCTTTCCAGGAATCCTCTGTCCATCTCCTGGTTCTGTACCACACACCCCACCTCATCTGGACTTTTTGCCTGTTGGTTTACACTAAGATCAGACTGACCCACCTCCCTCTAGGACACACAGCACTCTGCACCTGAGGTGAACACCAGAATGGGTTAAAAAGATCGAATTACACCAACACAGCAGCTTTTTGAGGATGAGATCCTTACTGCTCTGAAAAACACCTCCCCGCCCTCACACTGCCTGCATTCCACTCCCAACAACTCTGTGCACCTTTGCATTGAGCTCATATTTAGTGAATCTAAGGTTTAAACCAAGGGAATATAAAGAGGCAGAGAGAGATGCAGAAGCCCTGAGTCTCTGCAGCCTGATCAATGTGACAGTGACACAAACCAGTGCCTTCCTGAAGCCCCTGCAGAGGGAATGGACGGCTCCAGCTGGGACAAGTGTTACATGGGAACATTTAAAACCCAGTCGGTGAGGTTCTTGCAGCATTTCTCCTGCCCATGCTCTAGGTCTTGATAGTTATCTCTTGATAATTATGTCTCCTCTATCTCCAGTTCAAGGAGTTTTTTGGTTGGTTRTTTTGGAGCTTTTCTTGTCTGTTTTCCAAGATGCATTTCAGGTCTATTCTACTTTAGTAGGATGCAACTCCTTTGTCTTGAAAAATCAGGATTTCTCTGTAACTTCACACCAACACCCACAGGATCACCAGGCTCTTTATAGCTCACCCCCAAGGGTTTACACCTCTGGCTCTTCACACACAAGTTACTTGGAAATACAGTGTTCCTGATTAAAACAGGTGATACTCAAAACACAAACCAGATGAGAGGACATCTCCAGGGAAGAGGGCAGGGAAAGGAGGAAAGGGAGATACTTACTGTGAACCTCTTCATCCAGAGCCTTCACTTTCCCCTTCTGCTTGATAAGGTGGATTTTGCAGGCATTGGCTTCCCAGTCTTTGTCATTTCCACCATCCAGTCCCACACCTAAACCCCACCATGGAACATGGAGAAAGAGGGTCAAGAGCAGAAGTTACTATAAGTATTTTATGTAAACAAATACTGCCCCTTTTGATTCTTCTAGAGCCCTTTCTCGAAGAGCTGACCCTCCACATAAAGGCAAGAAACCCCTTCGATTAGAACTAAGTTTTCACTTTGTCATCTTGTCATATTTTTAAAGCCTTAGGAAAACAAAGCCATCAAGAATGTTTATAGAAACCAGTATATTGAAGTTAATCCAAACCTCTGACCACAGGCACATCCAGTTTGTGTTTCAGCTTTCTTCAAAAGCAGAAGGTGGGAGAAGCCATTTGCAATCACACCCCAAAAGCCATAATTTACAAGCCCAAATTCCCCAAAGCAGTGCTGCTGCACAGAGAGAGGTACCTGCAGAGTCATAGCCCCGGTACTCCAGGCGCTGGAGCCCTTTGATGAGGGTCTCCAGGATCTCCCTCCTCGTCCTGGGAACATGGTAGTTCAGGTAAGCAAAGATACCTGTGTGGGGAAAGGAGAATCATCTCACAATGAAGTCACAGCTGGGGAAGCTCTGGACCAGCACCAAGTTCCACCTCCAAGAGCCTCTGTGCCCTTTCCTCCTTTCCCTCCCCCTGCACTTCAGCCCTGCTGTGTCTGCCCAGACCCAACGGGGATGTCACCAGCATTTAGGAGATCAAAACTACCCCCAACTGCCACTGAAAGCAACTGAGCAGGACAGACCTGCACGTGATGGGAGGAATTTCCCTATAAGCTGCACCTACACAACAGGATGAGTTGTCAGGAGACAACACAAGGCACAGGAAACTCATTCCTGCAGGTGAACAAGTCCAGCTTCCCCCCCAATGGAGCTGAAGAACCATCAGAGAAAGGAATTTTTCCTACAATAGCTTTTTCCAAGTTCCTTCCAAAGACTAAGAAAAGAAATCATTTCATTCATGCAAACTAACACTCACAAACTAATGAAGCTCTTTTTCCTGTAGGTTGCAAAGGAAGAGGAATTGTTGCTTCCATTTTTACTCAAATTCCTTGATCTCTAATACCAGCTTTGGCTCAGAAYAATTTCCCTTGGTGCCACCAYAAAGCAGTAGGATGAGAAGACATTKACTGGATGCTACAAATATCCCCACTCAAAAGCTACAGCTTCACCCTGTGACATTTGAAAGGAGAAAATACCTGTGTGGAATAAAAGCAAGACCAGTTTCACACAAACATCCATCTGTGTAAGTGACTGGGAATTCCAGGTCTGTAATTTGAGAAACTTTATCAAAACCTCTTGAGGAGAATGGAATTCAGTCACATACACAGAGACATAAAGTCCTTTTAAAGGCACCCCAAATCTTTGATATTTTCCTGATGGTGCTGCCATGCAACTCCCAAACTTTTATTCATAAGAGTTTCACTCCCAAGGTGGCTTTTGGAGCATAAATCCTTACGCTTACCCATAGAACATTTGAAAAACTGCATTCTTAAGCTGTCTGTGTTGTGGAATTACATTAAATAATTCAAAGCCTTTCAATGCCTTATTTTATATGTAGAAGTATGGGACACTCAATGTAGATGGACACACAGAACATCACTCAGCAAAGTGCTGCACCATTTACAAGGATATTTTAGCCAGAACAGGGACAAGGCTGTTCCAACCCTCTCCCATTCCTCCTGCCTTTTCCACAGACAGGTCTCAGGGTAAGTCTGTCCTAAGCTTCCCATTCCCATCAGAAGTTACATCTCCCTGCAGTTCTGCTGCCAACAGAGCACATCACGACTCGCTGATTTTCTTCCATACTGCTGGAAAAAATCAGATGCACATTCCAGCGTTCCTCTTTCTTAATCCTAGTCAGATGAAGGAAAAAAGTGAAAAATGAGCTTTTCACTTTGTTTCCTTAGCTTCTGCCTTCATTTCCCCAAACTACCTGCAAGATCATCACGACCAAGTTTATAAATATTCACAGTTCCATTTCCACTGCTCCTGACATCCCAAACCACCAGGGCACACAGAGCTGGTGCTGCCTGAAGGCATCTCTTCAACCCAAATGTTGGATCCAGTAATTCCATGGACAGGGTGAGCTCCTCCTGGACGAACCTCCCAACTCACAGTTCAAAGCTCAGCAGACAAAACCCTGAGAGCAGTGAACCACCTCTGCTGTGTTCCAAACCTCTGAAGGATGCTTTGCCCCATACTCTCCACCTCCAAATCCTCATCCCCACCCTCCTGGCAAAAAAAGAAAAAAAAAAAGAAAAAAAAAAAAGTTTTCCAAATATGAGATACTTTGTTCACTCTGTTTCTAAAAACAGCCAACTTGAGGCAAACAGCAGCCTCCCAGTTTCAAGTGAGCTGACTCCAAGCAGCTGAAGGATGGCACATTTCAGCTATATCCTGGATGCCTAAAATCCTTAAATGACTTGCAGGCCTTACAGCAG